CAGGGGTCTTCTGTAATAATATCATCACTACATAATAGCATGAACAAGTATATTATGGCATTTTTAGGCGATGCTGTGGTCACAAGCTGAACAGCAGTGCTGTGAGCTCATGCTGCGTGTGTCAAGCTTGGTAGCTCACTTAATACTGAGGCCCCTAACACCCAGGAATTTGGCCCACGATTTTTTTTTTAAATGGCGGCTGTTTACAAGAGCCCTGATGAAGGTGTGGTGAACCCCGTGTATCCGCAGGCCGTTTAAATCTTGCGTAGTACTCCAAAGCCTCATATGATGCGATGCGCAATTTACTGCAAGTCGGTCAAAGCATCATATGATGCGATGCGCAATTTAAGGGTTAACCCTGTCGTAGCTCAGTCGATTAAGGCAGTGTCTGGGATGCTCCTGGATGCAGGTTCGAATCCTCATCACAGCCCTTGTGGATTTGTTCATTTGATGCATCACGTTAGTGTGATTTCTGTTTGTGGCGAGAGAGGAAGCTTTGGAAAAAGAGAGGGAGATTACCACGAGGGCCAAAAGAATTAAGTTGGGACAAAATATGATATCGCCAAGAGGTGTCATAAGCCTTTTCCAAGTCAAAAAGGACAGCAACAACGGAGGTATTCACAGCAAAAAGCAGTACAAATATAGACCTACAAGTTCACCAGGACATCTGTTGTGCTGCGGCACTTGTGGAAACTAAATTGAGAACGGGAGAGTGGTGATAATGTTCTAAGAACCACATCAGACGAACGTTAACCATAGGTTCAAAGAGTTTGCAGACACAATTCGTGAGGGCAATAAGGCAAAAGTCCTTGGGGAAGTCCACAGAGACCCTGGTTTGCGAACAGGGAGGACAACGGCATCAAGCCAGTCCTCAGGGACTAACGACGACTCCCAGATCCGATTATACAGATTCGGTAAATACTGAGACGTGCACGGAGAGAGATGGCAAAGCATCTCATAATGAATGCCATCGGAGCCTGCCACTGTAGAACCACAGAGGGCCAAGGCAGACCGAAGTTCAGAGAGAGAGAGAGAGAAGGGATTGTTATAGGGAAGTCGTAGATGAGTGCAGAAATCTAAAGGACGAGATTCAAGGACAGGTTTACGAAGAAGGAAAGATTGGGGAAGATGAGAACCAGAGCTAACAGAAGAAAAATGGGAATCCAGTTCGGTAGCAACCTGCAACGGGTCCACCCCAAAAGTACCACGGAGATGAAGAACCGGCGAGACATCGGGAGCGAACTTACCCGCTATCTTGCAGACACTCTTCCAGATCTGTGGCAGAGAAGTGTCGGACGTAATGGTGGAGACATAAGACATCCAACATTCATGTTTAACCGTACGGATGGCCCTACGGGCCACCGCACTTGCCTTCCGAAACAAAAGAAAAGAATTGACCGTCTTCCGGTGCCGGTGTCTCTTCCAGGCTGCACGCTTACAGCGGACAGCCCAAGAACAGTCTGCATTCCACCAGGGAACGCACTTCTGTGGTCCCTGAGAGGAAGAGTGAGGAATAGAGCGGAGGGCAGCGTCGAAGATGGTGTCATGAAAACGGAGGAGAGAGCGAGGGAGAGGCAGAAGGGAGAGGTCAGAGAGAGCAGCACTGAAGGTAAATAGGTTCCAGTCTGCCTTAGCAAACTGCCACCTAGGGAAGGAGAGGGGAGGGTGAAAATAGAAAATGGTAACAAGGATGGGGAAATGATCACTGCCATGGAGGTCATCAAGAACTCGCCACATGAAATTCAAAGTAAAGGGACGACGAGCAGAAAGAAAGATCAAGACAGGAAAGGGTGCAAGTCCAAGAGTCCAAATGAGTGGGCTCACCAGAATTCAGAAGAGACAGGGAAGAAGAGAGGATGAACGATTCAAGAAGGTGACCCCGGGTGTTTGTCAGAACATCTCCCCAAAGGGTGTGATGACAATTGAAATCGCCTAGCAGGAGCACAGGCTCCGGCAAGGAGTCCAGTAGGTGTTTATGATTGGGAAGAAAAGATGGGACACACGGGGGTGGTGGGGGTGGGGGGGAGATAAATGAACCGTGTACCATTTTCTCAGATACGGGCAGCAGAACAATGGAGAGGCGATGGAAAAAGTAAGGGGACAAAGGGAACATCAGAGCGAATCAAGAGAGCAGAAGAGTTAGGAGCCCCAGCACCAGCTGGGGAAGGGGGGAAGAGAAAGGAATAGCCATGGAAGTGACCAGGATGAGCATCACGCAGCTCCTGGAGACAGACACAAAGGGGCGAAAATTGTGAAATCAGAAGTTGGAGTTCAAGGAAATTGGCGTAATAACCACGAATGTTCCACTGAAGAACAGACATCAACAAGAAGAGAAAGGACAGCAACAGAGAACAACGAACAAAGGTGAAAAGGGAACACAGCACGTTAAAGAAGCGCAGGGTCAGGGTCAGTGAAGTCAGGGTTAGGGGGCATGGGTAAACTGAGTAAAGATGGAGGGAAGGGAGCAGTAGGACAGACCAGAGGCGGACGTGCAAGGAAAGGAGGAGGAGGAGGAGGAGGGGGGGGGGGACAACCGAGGGTCAAGGACAGCAGCAGGAGCAGCAGAAACCAGGTAGTGCATCTCGGCAAGAGCAGCAACCGAGGAGGAAGCGGGGCCGAAGAAACCTCCATAGCAGGAACATGGGGTGCAACCACCGAAACGGGAGGGGATGGAGTGAGAGTGTCAGAGGTAGGAGGCGAGGAACAAAGCAAAGCCTTCTTTCCCGCTGGGGAGGAGGAAGGAGAGGAGCCAGGTTTTTGCTTCTGACTCAGAGACAAGTGTCCCAGCAACAATGTACTGGGCAAGAGATTCAAGCGTCTCATCAGGAGAAGCAGAATGAGAGCAAACACGATGGCCATTCGGAGAGCGATGGACATCAGCCCGCACTGACAGGCGGCGTGGAGAGCTAAGAGACGGAGAAGGATGGGAAGGAGGATCGGAGGGAGACGAGGAAGAAGACACAGGAGACATGACAGACTGGGTAGAAAGAAGGGGAACCCCAGATAGAGAGCCATGAGGGGGACCCTTCGGGACAGAACTCAAAGGAACAGAGGAGGCAGCGGTGGGCATTTCTGGGTCTAAGGTCTGGAAACGGTTGTGAGACTGAGGAAGGTGGGAAGGACAAGGAGAGGAAGAGTGCAACATGCGAGCATAAGAGACGTTAGCATAAGGAGGGAGACAACAAACTTGGTGCCTCGCCTCAGGAAAAGACAAATGTTCCCGGTGCTTCAGGCTGAGGACGGCTGCCTCAAGCTTGTAATGTATACACGCATGGGAGAAGGTAGGGTGGGCCTCATCGCAATTGAGGCAGCGAGCCTGGGAAGAAGTGCACTCCGACTTAGTGACCTTCATCCCCACACACAGGACAGAGAGAGACAGTACCGGAGCAGCGGAGGGCTCCATGCCCAAACCTCCAGCACTTATTACAGAGCCGAGGAGAGGGAATGTACTCCTGGACGGAGCACCTGGCACCAGCAAGAATGACAGAGGGCGGAAGGGGCCTACCAATAAAAGTAATCATCACAACCCGAAGGGGTTGACAACGACGACCATGAGGGGGACGTGTAAACAAGTCTACCTGGAGGACAGAATGGCCCTGGGCTTCAAGGATATGCAATATTCTATATCTTCGTGGCAGTCCTGTAGATTCTGAACACCGGTTGCAACATGGGGTGGGAGGAGAATAGTGCCAACACTGGCATTCAACCAAGCGTTCTTGGAGACCCGAACAGGGGTCTCGCCAAGGCAGGTTAAGGCAGTCAAGCGGGAGGCTGCATCCTGAGAAGCAGCAGCAACGACTCGGTGTACTAAGACGGGTGGGGTTGAAGGTAACGGAGGCATCTACTGAATCAACAAGGTGCCTATGGAGGGAGAAATCGTCAAGAGGGAGGAGATCAAAGTATTTGGTACACAAAGCGGGACCAAACAAGGCTTGATACGCATCAGTACGGGAAGGAATCGAGCGAGTGCGACCGTGGCAAGGACGGTGTTGAGAACCCCCAGAGAGAGAGAGAGAGAGAGAGGGGTTAAAAGGTGCAGTAGTCACAACTAGAGACTGAACCGTGCCAGGGGACGAGGTGGTCACCACTGGGGGCTTGGGGCTCGACCCAACCACAGAGGAGGGAGGGGAGCCGAGGGGAGTAGTCAGGAGGGTCAAAGGAGGAGCAAGGCCGGGGCCCAACGCAGCGGGGGCTACAGAGCCTGGTCTTCCAACACAGGCCGACTCGGGGGCTTATTCGCCCACCCCACGAGCCCGAGAAGGTATAAAAGGAACATTGACATACAAACGAGGAAAGACATTCATTCACGAATGTGCCCCCACACCCACCATAGAGCTACAATTAGAGGCAAGACACCCAACAAGAGACATGTTGCTGATCTTGCCGGGGCTCCAGGTGTGCATCGTGAGTATACGCCCCACAAACGCCACCTTAAGAACGGTCAGTCCGTCAAGATCGGGTTCAGTGACTAAAGGAGGATTGACAATAAAAGGTTCCCCTCGCTCGAGACGTTGAGTACTACAGTTCTACGGGTGCAAGAGTATGCCTCCTCAAACACCCGGGCATCAAAACAATGATCAAAACAGGCACAAGGTCAGCGGGAAATGACAATTAGAAAGGAGAGGAGTTGGGGAGAAAAACGAAACAAAAGGAAAAGGAAAAGTTGTCCAGCAAAATTAGTGAGGACAGCAGGAGTATAAGGCCACAAAAGGACAGAGGACTGTCCCATGGAGCATCACACTCCAGCAGCCGCCCACCAAGCCCCCCTCACGGCAACAACGAGCCGGACAGGGAAGGGGGACTGTCACTATCAAGACCATTAGAGAAATAGTGACTTGAGTAAATTCAGGTAATACAGTAATTCCTGTTAATGATTATTTTATTACAGTATAAAAGTTTATATTAGTTGTCTTGTTAGCACATTACTCTACATCATTTAAACTTATTGTAACTATATTGACAAAATATTTTAACACACTGATTATGATTTTTGTCCACAGGTGCAGTGTGAGAAATGGAGACGTAACGACCTCCGTATCTTGGTAACATTAGCCAAAACGCCCTATGTTCTAGTTCTGGATGGTGTTTCTGCCATCACGGATGACCTTAATCTTTCTCGGTTGCTCTCAGTGGCTCTGGGGCTCAAATCCCTTGGGGTAGGCATTGTAAGTGGTGCAGAACGTGGGAGAGATGGGTCATGGGACTATACTTGCACACGTCTAACAATTAGCAACTCGCGTCTTACTCTCAGAGATGGATATGAATTTTCCCGTGCTGCCTGTCTCTTCTGTGATGTCATCTCTAGTTCTTTCTTAGCAGCAACTAAGGTTCTTCATGATGTACCGTATGACTTAAGTATGTCTCATAGATCCCAGGTCATTGATTGGAGTTTGAGGCTACAAAAGCATGGTTACCTAGCAATGACATGTCCAGATGTAATGTTTCATATGCAAAAGAGTCTGAGGTCCAAAGAGCAACATAGGGAACCAGACAAAAGCTGTGTAACAAAGGATGAAAAGAAACAGGCAAGAGCACAATTGTGGGCCATCAAAAGGCAGTACAGAAAACTGGCACAAAAATGGGAACTTAATTATGTCACCTTTAACAATGGTACAAGTTTCGAGTACAACTGCCGTGAAGTGCATTATGATTGTAGTGCTTATTATAAAGTAAGATATTACATCCTTCCACCATGTTGTTTAAAGCTTAAAAATAAAATATTAAACACTGTTGATATAATTGCAAAAGAAAACAGAGTTCCTTATGAAATTAGTTCTGGTACTCTTTTAGGTGCTTTGAAGTTTAAAGATGGTCTTCCTTGGGATTTTGACGATGATGCATATTACAGAAATTCAGACGTGGAAGTGTTTATCAGAAATAAACAAAGGATGCGACGACTTGGTCTCTCACCATACTTTAGTGATCAAGTCAGCAAAGGAAATAAATCTGTCGTTAGTAAATATATCTATGCAACTAGTCAGGGGGGTTTTGCATTGGATTTATGGGGCAGGAAAACAATGCCATCTATAGGAACACTGGAAACTCTTAAGAAATATCCAGACAATCTTGTGTGCCTTCAGCATGGTCACATCCCAACACCTATTAAAGTTGCGAAGTCAATCCAGAAGAACATGACATTACACAAAACTAAAAATAAAATACTGCCATCATGCTACCTCAGCTCCTTTATACGTGTGGGTTCCAACTGGTTGCCTGGTCCCTGGAATCCTGGCAAGAAAGCTCTAACTCAGTATGGTGATAATATGTTTCGTCATGAGGCACATTGGCGGTGGAATGATGTTGACAATCCAGGGTGGAAGCCATGTCCACGCCCAGGCCACCATGCCTGTCTTGATTCTCACCCATTGGATGGCTCCTTACCTTTCCTTTGAGCACATCTGCCACATATATGAAAGTCTCATGGCAAAGTACATTCTATTCTTGACAAATTTATTAAATAAAAGATGTACGGGACCAGGTTACCAGAACTAATTGCTGTATTTAGACTTGAATGAACTTAAATATTCTTAGTCTAGTTCAAAATAATTCTCCTTTATTCTTTCTTTCAGCCAAAATTTGATATAAAGTCATACCAATGTATAATAGGTGACTGATATATTGAATTAGCAATTTAATAGGTAAAACAGAATACAGCATGTAAATCCCTTGCAATAATGTCATGTGCTCCATATGTTGAATGTAAACACTGCAGTTGCTGTTTGTCAGTCAACACTGGCAATTTATAAAAGTCGATACAATAGATGGTTTCCATTGTTGGGGCCAGGAAGTATTCTAGACTTACTGAGATCCCCCCTATGCGAACGACTAACCTTCCCCAGTATGCAAGCCACAACAGTCGCCTAATTCCTGGGTAACTATATACTGCTGGATGAAAAGATGTACAGTATCACTGTGCAAGGAAATTTGCCAAACGTATCTCCCTGCACATGAATTAAACCCTGGAGCATTCAGGCATGAGGTGACTGCACTGACCAAAGTGCTACAAGATACCACAAATCTGAATAATGAAATATGACTCAAAATCGTCCTTTATCTGGCAGTTTCTGTCCTCCTGCACTGTGCCTTCAGTAGTCCACACCTTCAGTGGTCTGCATGGATTTCCTTTGGTAGCTTCTGTGGAGCTCAGACCTCTCTATGATGAACCTGGCTTATTGGTTACTTTTTGAGGTCTTGGGTTCAATCTGGCTGGATGACAACTCCCTCCTTTCATGTAGTGGCAGGGATTTCGTTGACATTGCATACCTGATTGGTGGGAGGTGAGCACTGTCTTTCAGATGTTTCTGACTGGGACATCATTTGCCTCACTCCAGTACTGCCTGCTTGCCCTGGCACTTTCCAAGGATGTGGGCAAGTGGCAGATACATGCACAGCTACCTATGCTTTCTAGGACCCTTATTGCAGAAAACCACAGGGTATATTCGCACCTGGCAGTGGTCTTGCATGTCTGGGTCCTCCTGGAGGGGTTTTCTGACCATCTGACTGAGGATGTGGTGGTGATAGAATCCACTTGGGGGGGTGGGGGAGCAGAGTCCATACAGCCTGTGCTTCTTACCCTTGCAACCTTGCCCAAGATGCTTACCCCTCTCCTTCAGGAGGCGGTGGCGGCATTTTATTCAGTCCACTTCATGTGTCGACAGACCATGCTGACCCATTCTTTAGATTCAGCTTGGCTCTTACCTTTTTGGCTGCCTCTCCCTTTTCATTTCTCTTTCATGGGGATACTGTAGCACAGGTTGTTGTGATGGCAGCTTTTTCATGCCGCTCTATCGATCACCTGTAGTTTTCTTAGGGTTCTGTCCCCTTTCAAAGGCAGTCTAGTCTGGTAGAGACTTTGCCTCTTGTTGGCCATGGTAGGTCTTCAGGTGGGTCAGGCTCCTGGGCCATAGTGCTTCCTAAGGCGGCTTCCTCCTCTGCTCGACGTCACACTCGCATGTCATGGAGGTCTGGTTCTACTCCGAATTCACTTTGGTCCTTTCACCGTTTGCCATTTTAAAGCCGCTGTTGGAGTGGGGGGGGGGGAAGGGCATCTGCCCTCTTTTGCCAGCTCCTGGTCCCATAGTTTAGGGGGTTTATCGGGTTATTACCCATGGTGTTTGGTGGGGCTTGTTACTCTCTTTCCTCTATATTTAGGGTTGTGTCTGTTGAGTCAAGAGTCTTCCCCAGGATTATCAGGTATTTGCACATTGCTTGGCCTTGGGCATGGTCAAGCCGCCCTCACCCCTTTGGTGGGTGTCCCAGTTGTTCCTGGTGCCAAAGCAGGACTTGGTGGACCTTCAGTACATCCTTGATGTTTTGGGTCTGAATGACTTCGTCTCCTGCCTGGACCACTTTGGTGCAAGTTTGCCTGCTGCTACAGGCTGGAGTCGCTTCACCTCAAGGACGCATACTGGCATGTCCACATTCATCAGGGATTCGAGGACTGTTTAGCTTTTGTTGAGAGGCATCGGGCTTACCACTTTCTTGTCAGCCAAATCAAGATAAAATGTACAAAGATCAGACATTGTTGTGAGGTATTAAAATTCTTAATGTGAGAACCACTGATACAACTCATTGTTTACATGCGACACTGTTCAATTAATATGGAATGTCAGTTGACACACAGTCACTATATATACACAGATGTGGTGGCATGATGCAACATACAAGGGTTCTATGAACAGATGTTCAAAAATGTATGTGCTACACAATTTTATCAATACACTGATATTTTTTTTCACAAATACCTTCACATTGTTTGTTATCAAAAGATACAAAATATGGCAGGATTAACTACTTTAGAGGACCCCATATGGAGTAAAAATGCTTGATACATTGAATACAGTATACAGTGGAACCTTCGTTTACAAATTTAATCCGTTCCCAGAGGCGGCTCATAACCCGAAAATTTGTAACTCTAAACAAAATTTCCCATAAGTAATAATGTAAATGGAATTAATCCATTCCACATTCCCAAAAATATTAACTTCAAAATACATTTCATACATAATAAACACAAATATTTTGTACTATAGTACAGTATGTACAAGTTATAGCTTATCTTTATTGATATTGGGGAGCTGGTCGGCCGAGCGGACAGCACACTGGACTTGTGATCCTGTGGTCCCGGGTTTGATCCCGGGCGCCAGCGAGGAACGATGGGTAAAGTTTCTTTCACCCTATGCCCCTGTTACCTAGCAGTAAATAGGTACCTGGGAGTTAGTCAGCTGTCACGGGCTGCTTCCTGGGGGTGGAGGCCTGGTCAAGGACCGGGCCGCGGGGACACTAAAAAAGCCCCGAAATCAACTCAAGATAACCTCAAGATGACTCTTGTTGGCTTTAGGTATTGTATGTACTAGCTCTATCTATAAATCCAACATTATGTTTTTAAATCAACTATATATGTACTTTTCCTGATTAAAAAATGTAATAAATTAATTAATTTAATATGGAAGATGGTGAGGGGTGGGGGGTGGGGGGAGGAGGAGAGGTGTTAGTGTTTCTAAGGGAAGTCCCCTTCCATTATAACATCAGGCAGTTATAACTTCTTTGGGGGTACACACTCTCCTATGTTTTGCCTGCATGCCACTAGAACCTGGTTGAGACTCACTGCTTGTTTGTCTCACTAAGAACCTTTCCATAGAGACTTGTTTTCTCTCTATGGTCATTCTCACATGTGCTTTCATAGGTTGAACCTTACCACTGACTTTATTGGGACCCATGGCATGGTATATAATATTTACTTTTATGTTTAGACAGTACTTTACAAAGAATTCAATCGTGATCATCATTATGCAGGAGGCACTGTTAAACTGAGGTGCGGTTGCCCATTCCACCAGGGACCACTCGCCCAGTTGACCCATATGTGTATCAACAAACTCGCAACTCAAGGCAACACTCATAAACGGAATAAAATTTTACGAAGAAATTGAGCTCAAAACGCAAAAAATTCATAAATAGGGCATTTGTAAGCTGAGGTTCACTGTATTTTGTTTGTTTAAAA